GTTTGAAGTCTGGTCCTTAATAATTTCAATAAGTGGTTGGAAAATAGTTAGATATTTTTTCGCAATAATATCCCATACCTTATTTCGTTCCTTGACTGTATACTTTTCATTATAATATAAATCAAACTGATCTTTCATTTTTATAAACAAGTTATTAAGAAATGTATGAAGTTCAATAAGAATCTTCCTAGGACAATTAAGTATTAATTCAGATATTATATATTTAAGAGATTTAAGAAATACTTCCTGTTCCAAAGTAACGATAGATTTTTTCTTAATAGAAGACTTCTTCTTTACAAGAATCTGACTTTTTTTTTTGTATTAAAACAGAATTGTATATTATCATTATCATTATCATTATCAGAGGTGATCTCTTCTTCCTCCTCTGAATCCAAGTTATCTTCCAATATCATCACCTCCTCATCATCTGAATTTTCTGGTTCGCTTTGATAAATATTATTAACTTTTTTAAGTTTCTTAACAAGACCAGGACACATATTTTTTCTATGTCCAATTTTTTCACAATTTGAGCATTTATAAGTAACTTTAATAGGCTTCTTTGTCAACTTTTTTGCAAACTTCTTTATCGGCTTCTTTGTATTATATACTTTTTTTGAAGTTTTGATACTTACTTTACTATCTTGGCCAAAAGGTTCTTTTTTAAAATTATAATTTGCATGTCCTAATCTATTATATAATTTATAATTGACAAATTTTATTAAATCATTAAGATCTCGTGATCCATAATTTGAATAACATAATCTTTCGGCAATAGTATCCAAATAATCTAATGCCTTATTTTTTTGTGGAAATTGATTTATAGGAATACTATTGTTTTCATTTTCAAAATTACTAGTTGGTCCTCCAGACTCTAACCAAATAATTCTTAATTGCATAAAGAAGTCATTTACAGTATTTGGATTTGCTATTCTGATTCGTGTTTCTAATCTAGGAGGTAAATGATCATAAAGATATAGCAATACTTCTGCATCATCAATACCTAATACATAAGGTCTAATTCTTTTTTCATAAGTATTAATTGTATTTAATGAAGTGAATTTTTCATTTATAAGAGCTTTTAAAGATGCTCGTTGATTTCCAATCATTGTTTCTCGATATTTACCTTGCATCCAGTTATAAACTTCTGCTTCTGTAACAATATTCGCATTAGTATTATAGGGGTTTTGTGCTGGAACTAGAAAAAATCTACCTGTTATTTTACTTTTCATGATATTTGCTCTTTCTGCAGCATTAAAAGCGGCAACACCTAAAGGTCTGGCTGTTTCATTTATAGCTCTAAGCTTTGCATAATAAGTATGTGGTGGTTCTTGTCCATCATAATCTGGTAATATAGCCAGTCGTGGTGAAATTGTATGCATGACATCTTGTATGACAGCCATATTAATTGGATTTGCTAATGGATTATTTTGTAATATAAAAATTTGTTGACGTAAATTATTAATTATTTGCCTGATATCATGGGTTTTATTTTTCCATTTTTCATATCTTACTATAAGTTGATCTCACCAATATTCTAATATTGTTCCATTATTATGACATTGTTGTAACTGCTGTTTCAATTTCTGATTTACTTGTTTATTCAGAAGCTGTAATGCAAATTGTTTATGTAATAATGATTTAATATGTCTATCTTTTTGAGTTTTAATATAGATAGCATTCAACTATCAAAAATTGCAAGATTTTTCTTTATCTTTTACATGATTTTGTAAAGTATCACATTCTTGTATAAGCTAATGATTACAGTTTTGCAAAGTAATACCTTCATGTGTAAGCTGGTTGATATGATCTTGTTGAAGTGTATCAAGCTATCTATATCCTGTTGTAACTGCAATATTTGATCATCTCGATTATTTTGTTGGGTGATGATATTATCTATATCCTGATACATAGATTGATAATTATGAAAAACAGTATTCAAAGAACTATGGACCCTTCGATAATTCTGATAGGATTATTTAGTGGAGTACTGTCTCCTCTAAGATGATTTTTGAGTCGATGCAAACCTTGATTAATAAGTATAAAAAGATTTATATTTGCCATATTAGTGTCTTGTTTTTCTAAAGTCTGGGTATATAGATCTGGCAAGCTTCTTCTTGATTAAATAATTTTTACTATAAATAAGAATCCTAGTATTGTTATAGATCCTTTAGAATCTCAAAAATTTGATATATCTATTGATTTACAAAAAATCTATTACCATCCTTCTGGTTATCAAAAAACTAGTAAAAAGCTTTATGAAGTTGCACATAATGCCGGTTTTGATTTTACATTAGCTGAAGTTCAGGAATGGCTTGAAAGACAATTATTATACTTAATTCATAAATCTCGACCATGTTTTATTCAGTATGTATCTTTTAATGGAATTCAAAATTTAAATGAAATACATCAATCTGATCTTACTCTTATGCCTCATGATAAAATTGGAAATCGAATTTTCAAACATAGGGATGTTATAAAAGATATAGCAACTAGATTTCATAAAAGTTGCACTTTAACTAATAAGTCTTCTGCATCATTAGCTAAAATGTTTAAAGCAATTTATGATAATTCTAATAATCACTTTACATGGCCAAAAGTGTTAATAGTAGATAAAGGCACTGAATATTTAGGTAAATGTAGAGATTTATTACTTAGTCATGGTGTAAAAATTATATAAGCTAAATCTAAATGTAGCACATCAATAGCTGAACGTGATCATCAAGAATTTGAAAAACATGCCTATATTTGTCAAGATGCTGTAGATTTTCTTTTACCATTAACTGAGAGATGTCGAGAATGGGTTAAAGGACTTTGTTTAAATGATGATATTTATAATGATACTCCTATCCGATTAATTCATAAGTCACCTAATAAAGCTGTAAAGAGGGCATTAAAAGGCGAAAAAATTATTGCAGATCCATCTGTAAAACATCAAAGACCTATTGGGTTTAATGAACCTTGATTAACCTATAAAGATTCAGTTTTATATTTACTTGAACTTGGAGAATTAGAATTTGGAAAAAGACGCATAACTGATATAAACTGGTTTTCAAAAATTTATCATATTAAGGAATCATTAATACAAAAAAATCAACCGGTATTATACTGGCTTATGGATGAAAATGGTGATGGACCTAAGCAATCATTTGTAAGAGAACAACTGATGGTAGTTAAAAATATTGAATATCCACCGAAATGGATATTGCGGAGCAAGCCTAAAGAGTGATTTAAGGATTATAGTTTTTCAAACCTACTTAAGAATTGAGCCATACTTGGAGTTCTTCTTTTTCTTCATCTGTAATAAAATACTCTTGTGATTTTGTTAATTAATTTGAGATAGTTTGAAATAACTTGACTAATTCTTGGTTCACTTTTATAGTATGAGTTATTGAAAGCATTTATTTTTGTATTATATATCTCTTCATTAGGTAACAGTTGTTTAGCTTTGTTTATAATATATTGCTTTTGATCTTCTGATTTGTGCAATTCATCAAAGTGGTTTTTATAATAAGCCATAAAACCTATATTTCTATCCTTGTTATAAAAATTACCTGCTCTTAATATATCAATTATTGATTTTTCTATATCTTGACATGTGGGAAGAGAGATTTCGACCTCTGAAGATAATTGATTTGTATTTTGAATAGTAGTTGACATTTGAATAGATATAATATTTGGTAAATATAAAGTATTAAAAGTTTTATAATATATTTATAGAAAAACTTTTGTTTAAATTGTATTTTTACCTTATATAAAAATACCTACTATGTATACTTGTGAATATTTTAAACCATCTGGTGAAGTTTGTGGACATACATCTTTGAATCTATATAGGTGTTGTTATCATAAAAAATCAAAAAATAAAGTATTGTGTTTAGAATATATTAAGGGTGTATTATCATTAAGTAGATGATGTCCTAATCACATTAGAAGTTTTTATGTTGGTAGGTATTATCAGAAACATTTTAAAAAAAACCCATATTCTTTTTCATGATAACTCTACTGTTTTATAAATTTGGTACCTTTATCCAATATATTGTAAATTTTTTGGTACCCTTGTTACATATTCTAATTATAAAATTTGTCCTAACTTTTTTGGTACTCGAATTTTGGTACCTTGTTACATATTTTAATTATAAAATTTGTTCTAACTTTTTTGGTACTTGAATTTTTGTACTCTTGTTATATATTATAATTATAAAATTTGTTCTAACTTTTTTTATTAAGGGTATTAAAAAAATTAATAAGTCGGTTGGATGTGGTCAAAAAAATAAATCACGCCTCATTCAAGTGTTGCGAGAAAATAAAATTCTATACACATTGAGATACCAATTTTTGTTCTTTACCTTCAAGGCTTTTTTTTTTATAGCAAGCAGAATAGTAATATGAAGATGTGGCCAAAAAAATAAATCTCGCCACATTCAAGTGTGGCAAGAAAAAAAAATCAATATAAGAAAAAAGCTTCCTGTGTGGCGAAAAAAGTAAGATGCTATACATATCGAGGTACCAATTTCCGGGCCAACTCTCTCATAAACATACTACTAGTGTTAACCACTACACTATAGACTCACAGGTCTTATAATTATTTGATTTGTAAAGACAAAACTTAATCTATCAATAACAATAAATTTATTATTTTTTTATTCACTTCAATATATATAACACTATTTTTTTTGTTTTAATTTTTTTTTATCTAAAAAAATTTTTTTGCAAGAAATATAATCTCTTCAATCTAATTTATAAGAAAACTTTCAAACAGTTTTAATAGTAAGTATTTTATTAAGTTGAATATTAACTTTATCATTTAAATTGTAATATTGTTATAGGGAAGTAAGTATATCAGGTATAAATGATATATCAGGTATAATAGGTATAAAGTAAAAATGTATATAAGTGACTTGAGAATGGTCAAAAAGTAAAAAGAATCAGAATAAGTATTGCGCAACTGTTAAATAATAACCATCTGTATTTGATAAACTATTGCCTTGTAACTAACTCTAGTGTTGTGTAGCTAATGGAATTGTTGTGCGTGAAGTAACCATTAAGGATGCAAGATAGATGGACTGATCTGTGTCAGCGTTACAAACTCTGATCAAATTCACACATCTCTTTTGAGCAGAAACTACCCTGATTGTTACATGGCGTGAAACAGATCAGAGCGACTGACTTGCTGTGATTTCACTGCAACAATATAAATAAATTTGCTTAGATATTTACTTATATTATAAAAAGTATAGTTTAAGATATTTTTAATTAACTTTATTAAGTAAAAAATTAAAAATTTTGAAAAAAAACTCTTCCGCAAATTTCAAAATTTCTAAAAAATTTCTTTTTTGGTAATACTTAAAAACACTCAAAAAACACTTAAAGAAACACTTAAAAAAAACATCAAAGGGAAAACTTCACAATATCTTCTTGAAAATAAAGGAGGACAGACATAACAGGTATATTGTGGATTCAAAAGTATACTAACTCTTCTTTATTACTTAAATCCAAAGACAGATACTTGTGATTTTTCACTGGGAAAGAAGGAAAAACAAAGAATACAATTCATAGTTAAATTAAAAGAGAAAGTCAGCACCGCACTTCTCAAGCTGCCAGCCAGTCGTGCATCAGGTTAGATACCTCCCTAGACACCAGCAAGACTTAGTATTGGCCAGATTACACCCGATAAACCAGGTAACTTCACACACCAACACAAAATCAGAAAGGTATCAAGACTTTCTCACTACTATAATTGAAAAAAAAAGTACAGATCTCAATATTGTTTGAAAATAAACAACAACCATTATGTGATCAAATTTTTGCTGAAGACAAAAAACCAGAAACAGTTTACCCCTCCCAAAGATCAATAGTAACGTGAACACATACTTTTCAAACCAAATAACAATAGCAACTACCAAACAAACAAATACAATCCAAAACAATAACACGCGTACACAACAGCCTCAAAATTTACCAAAGTTAGATTACCCCAAAGCAATACCTGCAGTAGCATGAACATGTTAACATTACAAATCAAGTAACAAAGTGTAATTAAGGCTCATCAAAACAAGCAGATCACTCAAAAAAAAAAACTCTTTTCCACTCCCCTTTCTACGCTTGAAAATTTCCTTTTTAGGAAATTTTCAAGCTTCTCTCTATGTCCCTTCCCCATATCTCTTCATTTCCCTTCCCCTATCTTCTCCCCTCTCTTCTACATACTCTTTTCTTTTACTCTTACCTTCCCCTTCCTTTTCCCCCTTTTTTTTTCCTGCCGAAGCTAGGTTTTTCCCTTTTCCCTGAAGGTTTTCCTCCCTAGGCCTCTCTCTCTTTTGAAA